TTTTTTTTTTTCTCTTTCTTTGTAATCATTGAAAGTTACAGGATATACACAAAATTCAAAAGCATGTATAATAATTATATAATGTAATTTTTAATTACATGATATAGCCTATATTTTTAAAATAAAAGTTAAATTTCCAGGAATAAAAGAAAATAAAAAAATGTTTGCCTATATTATACACACAACGTAAGAATTTCCATTACCTGCTATTTATCTTGTGGCGGCTCATCTGAAACCTTATATAAGATAATTATATTTCACGAGAGTACTGACTGCTGCATTAAATACGTGTTCACAAGAGGTTGTGATTGTAAGGATGCTTTTTTGGCGCATGGGAAAACATGGTAAATAATAATAAAATTAAGGGATTGAACTGTTTGTTGTTTTTCCTCTTTTGGAAATTAATTACAAAGATATATGAGAATTTTACTCAAAAGCGTATTCTGGCATATACGCTGCATATGGATGTCTGTGTGTGTGTGTGTGTGAAGTTTATACAAAGCGTTAAAACGGATATGGGTTGTTGGATGCACATGAATTATGTTGTAATAAAAATACCTTTACCTTTGATATTTGTAAACATTTTTAACGAACAAGAAATTAAAGTTAAATTTAAGATAAAGAAAAACAAGTTATGCAAATGCTTGTAAAATATTAAAATCATCAAAACAATTCAAATGCAAGAAAATTCAATCAAAAAAATTTTATAATTTCATATTTAAGACATACTTTCGAAATCAAATGTAACAAAAAAAATGTTAAATGTACCTGTTCGAGTCTGTATCGTGATGGAAGCTTTCAGACGAACACCTTTTAGTGTCGGTTGAATAATGAAACCATGACAGATATTTCGAAAGAAATGCAAATGAAAAATGAAAATAATTATTTGATGAGTGCGTGAAGTAAATGTTGATTCTGTTGCAAATGTCAATCGAACAATAAACTTGTGGGTACTCTTGTGACAAAGGCAATTTAATAAAATACAAAAGTTATCTTGCGTTTCAAGGAACACTACATTTTTAAGTCAATAATTTTGCCATGCCATTACCCACAAGCTTAAACGATTGTCATTTTAGTTAATGACACTCAGAAAACTTAAATATGGAGTCGAATATTATAGAGAAAGAGAGAAGAAAATAGTGTAAAGCTCAACTTGATGAAACCCATTAACATTTTTGTAACTATTGTTATGCCCTCTATTTGGAAGAGAAAATAGCACTTTCCTCTGTCTATACATAATTTCGTCTATGCTTCATCTACTCATGGCTTTAGAGTTTATTTATATTTTATTTAATTTAATTTAAAATTTTTAAGAATTTAATTCTTTTTGCGCAGTATTTCATTTTTTTTAAACAAAGACTTATTATTTTTGGGCTAACTTACTCATAGTCTCCAAATGTTGAAATATGCCATTCCGTGTAATGCCTCAGGTAAATGGTAGAGCAATTGTCAAAAACATTTGAATGTGTTTTTTATACCCTGCACCACATAGTGGTAAGGGGTTTATGTATTTTTGCATTTGTTTGTAACATGGAGAATAAAGTGACCCATAGCTTCTTTTGAGGATCTTCATAGAATCACTTGCATGCACATATACTTTTGTGAAGAAAAATCAGGTCGCATTTATTATCCGATCGAGATGAAATTTTCCAAATAATATTTGTTTGGCCCAAGAACGAACTATTGAAATTGGTGAGAATGATAATATATCTTCAACCGATATCGGGTTAATTGTGCACCAATTTGTTAATATCAGCCCAAATGATCTGAATTTTGGTACATCCGACCGACATTAGTCCAGAACCAAGTACTTCAAATTTGGTGAAAAACGGTTTAGATATAGCCATAGCTCGCATATATATTTCAACCGATTTGGGGCTTAAGTCCCTCACATATGTAATATGTACTCCACAAGAATGATATTTGGTACCAGACCAGAAATATTTTTTTAAAATTTGGACAAGATCGGTTTGGATATGGATATAGTTCCCATATATATCTTTATCCGATTTCAGGTTTTTTGTTCAGCAAGTGGCTAATATCAGCCCAAATGAACTGAAACATGTAATTCATAGCTCTCATCCGATTTGATGTTAAATTCCGCACATGCGTAACATGCACTCCACAACAGTGATATTTGATACTGGGCATCAGATACAACTCGAATATACCTCTGCCACATTTTTTCAAGATCGGTTAAGATTTTGATACAGTTTCGATATACATATTCATCCGATTTTAGGGTAATTGCTCACCATATATGTAATATCAGCCCAAATTGAATAGATTTTTTCATATTCAACCGAATTTCACCCTTTGGTGAAACTCGGTCCTAGTGCTCGAATAAATATTTTTAATGTGATCCCTATCATATCATATCATGCTTTACACAGCAAATTTTGGATTATCATATCCATTTTTGTATTTTTCTTAATTTGGTAAAGATTTTTCGATATGCCAAGTTTGGGCTATACAGGGTACTTCCTTTGGAAAACTTTACACTATTTACGATTGTAGTACCAATTCAAGCTTAGAAGGCCTCGAAATGAAGCAAATTTCCTCCCATACCACGCTTTTCCGGGAGTCTGGATGTAGTGATTCCTAGCAAAAGTAAAGCAATATTGACAAAAACTGAAAAAAAAAGAAGAAAACAGTAACATCAGCAGAAATGGTTCGAAAAGTAAAGGAGCGAATTGATCTAAACCCGCGCCGCAGTGGCCGGAAAATGTTTCGTTAGCTGAACATATCGCAATATTCCATTCGGAAAATATTGAAAAATGAGCTCGGGGTAAAGCCATTGAAATTCCAAAAAGTGCAAAAACTTACACCGCAACAACAAGAAAATAGACTCAAAAGAGCTAAAGAGTTGTTTCGCTTCGCCAAAAGTGGTGAACTGCCAAATTTGGTTTTCTCCGATGAGAAAACATTCGTTGTCCAGCATTTTGTAAACAATGATCATGTTAACTTGACAAAGAGGTCTGCTCAAAATGTGCACCTTCGGTTGGCCACCAGAACTCAAGCGCCGGCTATGGTGATGGTGTGGGCCGCCATTACAGCCGATGGTCGCTTTCCGCTCGTATTAATCGAACGTGACATTAGAATAAATGCCGAATATTATAGCGAAGATATTCTGAAGGGTGTATTAAAGCCTTGGGCACGCAAACATTTTGGCCGCAGACCTTGGGCATTCCAACAGGACTCAGCACCACCGCAGTCAGCACGCACCACCCGAGAATGGTCACAAAATGAGGTTCCTCGCCTCATTTCCAGCACAATGGTCACCAAAATCTCCGGATACCAATCCGTTGGAAAATTGTGTCTGGAGTATTTTGGAAAGCAAGATTGGCACTAAAAATACTAAAGTGTCGATCAGCTCAAGCAAGCATCCCATATTTGGCACCACTTTTTATTGTTGTGGAGCGCATATTACGAATTTGAGGAAGTTTAACACCAAATCGAATGAAACTTATATATACATGGGAGCTACAGCTATATCTGGACCTCTTTTTACCAAATTTGAAGTACTTGCTTTACATTTTACCATATGTAGAAAAAGGACCAAAACCCTATGATGATTCATTTGATGGTTGTAATGTTCGTTTAAAAACGGCTCGTAATGCTGGTAAAATCCAAATATTCCAAGATATATTTATCCGAAAATCTTGAAAAGGGGGGGAATTTGACCCATTTGAATGGAGTTTTTAATTAAATTAAAAATAGAGCAAAACAGACCCATTTGGTGACTCGTTTGGGGGTTTCAATTTTCGTTTAAGAAACTGCTCGTAAAATCCAAATATTTCAAGGAATATTAATCCGAAAATTTTAAAATTAATGAAGGGAGTATTTATCCATATTTTTCAAAAAGGATCAAAAATGACCTCTTTGGTAACTTGTTTGGGGGTTACAATTTTGCTCTTATATGTCTAAAATGAAAAAGTACTATTTAACCGAAATTTTCAAAAAAAAAAAATATTCAAATAAGATATGGAGGGGGATTTGCCCCTCTGGTTATATTACCTCGTGATATAAACTTAAAAAATGCTAATACTCTTGTCTTCTACCTTTAGTTCTACTTCCATAATATACTTTTTTATTGCTCTATTTATTGAAATTTTTCAATCTTGTTATCAAAATTTTAAGTTTCCCCTATGGTGGATGAGATTTAATGTTCGGCTCCTTGTGTGGTTTATTTGAAACGTTTTTTAGAACTATTACTTTTTCCCGAATTTATTATATTTTTTCATTTCGGTGACATTTTTCCTTGCAATTTTTATTCATAAAACACGCTATCGTGCCAATGTTTGTCCTCCACAATCTTCACCGTACATTGGATTCATCCTCGCCAGAACTTTACACCATTTACAATTTGTGTTGTGTAATTTATCCGAGTGTTATTATTTTATAAAGTGAAATAAGATTTATGAAACGCATGAAGGTAAAATGAAAATAAATGAAGGGCGGCTAGAAATGATAAAAATGGAAAATATGAGCAGGCTGCACAGACTGAGGGGAAGGCGTCATCATCGTCAGCAGATAAATGAAATGAAAAACTGAGATGTTTATCATGGGCGAGGCATCATGTTTTAGCTTGGATGAAATTGTATTTCTCCTCTCCTGTGGCACTGGTCGGAGGGTAATATTAATGACTGGCCTTTGCGAAAAAGGCAAAAATCGCTTGCGCTGGTGAATGACACTAGCCACCTTTCCAAGCATCCGTGTCTAGCAGTGAACAGCACCAACAACAATTTACATTCAGTTGTGAGGGAAATTTTAAATGAAATTTCCTTGGAGAAATTAATGCCGACATACACACACAGAGACAGACTGACAGACACAACTATAAATGCCAAGAAATCGTGGAATAGATGCTTCGCTAAATTAACGGACGCTACAATGTTTAGATGACAAGTGGATGTTAAGACAGACAGACAGACCGACAGAGAGATAGACAGATACCGATGCTCTTAAGATAAATATGAATTAATAATAAAAACAATTACCCCAAAGTGGAGCCGGTAATAAGCTCTGCCTGAGCACTTAATATCTCGGCAATGAATTCATCATTGTAGGCATCCTTAGGACGATACCAGCGACGACCACCGGGCAATACCAAGGGACGATCCGAGGCTGGTGTTAAGGGCCCAAAAGCTCGTTTTGACCGCTTAGGATTACTCTTGCGCTCCAAATGTTCCTCCAGCTCGCCAATGACTTCGTGTTTGTGGTCCTTTTAAATTGGTGAGGGGGTGGGTTTGTGTAGCCGAGGTGTCATGTTTTATTATATTTTTTATTTTTATTATTTTTTTTTGTGATTTTAGTTTTTGTTTTGTATTTTTTTTTTTTAGTGACAGAATTCCAATTTATTTATTTTTTTTTTTTTAATTTCATTCATGTTTTTTCAGTTGATTAGTTAACATTTTTCAATATGGCGGAATTATTATAAATTTTCATGTGTTTTTGTTCAATTATGAAAGTAGCCAAGCAACAAATTTTCATTGGAATTAGTTATATTTGTTGATTTTTTATTTCGATTACAGTAATGAATTGAATAAAGCGTATTTATTAAAAAAAATATTTCGTTTAATTTTTATTTGTTTAGCATGAAATAAAAATAACAAAAGAAAAAAGGAAAAAAAAAATGAAAAATATCAATAATGAGGCAAAAAAGAAAGTTAAACAAATTATTATTTAATTTTTAATATTTTATTTAAAACAAAACAAACTAGTATTAAATCGTTTTTGTGATTGCAACAAAGTTTTCTATTTTTTTTACAAAAGCCGTTGTTATGTTTTAACAATTGGTTATTGATGTGGAGATTATATGAGGCTTTCAATCGTCCTATGTCTTTGTATTTTTATATGTTTTTGTACTTTAGATTTCGAAATGTACTCTGTGCTGTAAAAATTAAAGAAAAATCTTCGATTTGTATTTCTTTGAGATAAATAATTATTAAGGTTAGATAGCACAAGAAAAAATTATAGAGTTTGTGATTTGAAATTATTTTTATATAGAAATGAATAGAACGCTGTTTTATTAATAATTATCAGAAACAAAATGATGAAGTAAAGCATTGTAACAAATGCGGAAAACTAATTGACAAATGCTTCCCTATAGTGTTATACAAGGTGGCGCAAAAGTAATTCTCCTATCAAAAAATGTTATAGATTTTTCGATTCCTCATTTTATTGGCCTCTTATTTACGGCCGAAAAAACATCGGAATGTCTGTCAAGTACATATGCATGTACAAGGTAGCGCAAATGTAAACTTCTGGGAACCTCCAGCCAATTTTATACTTCAAGGATTGTCATCTAATGTGGCATAAATCACCAAATTACGAATATAGGAAGGTCCATTGCATGGGAGATATACGAAAACGTAGGCCTTTATATACATTGACATTACATTGTTTCGTCACGGGGGCTAGAACTCATTACGAACAACAAGTGTCACTTTTTAGAGAAATTCCTAAAAAATGTGACTTAAACCATCATACTACCCAATATCAAGAGGTCCGTTACACGGGGGCTATACAAAAACTTGGATCTTTATGTACAATGCACCGCCAGCGGAGCTGAAACCCATTACGAACTACAAACACAATTTTTTAGACAAATCCGTGAAAAAATGTGGCGAAAATCAAAATACCGAATATCGGGAGGTACCGTTATATGACGGCTACACCAAAACGTGGAACTTTTTATATAGAATCTTTCGCCACTGGAGCTAAAACCCATTACAAACTACAAATACCAATTTTAAGACAAATCCGTAAAAAATGTCACTAAAACCATCAACATTTGAGACAATTCTATTCAAAAATGGAAAAAAATTGTGGCTTCCTATCGTAGTTCGTTTTGACTCCAGCGTGGTTACAACCGATGGACGATAGAGCTAAATCGCCTTAGAATTTTATGCTGATCAAGAATATATACACATTGTTAGGTCTAAAATTATTATTTCGATGACTTACAAGCGGAATGTCGAACTTAATATACCCTCCATACTTTGTATTGTGGAGGGTATAAAACAGCAGTAAGTTCGGCCGGACCGAAATCTGAACACCCACCACAATTTTTAACGAATTTGGAAATTAAAAAAATTTGTTCAAAATACCGAATATAACCGTTATATGTGGGTCTATACGAAGACGTGGACCTGCATAGGCAACTTTTGTCATAAGCCATTACAATATTTAAATACCAAACTTGAAAAAAAAATCCGGTAAATAATGTAGCTAAAATCGACATTTGTATTGTACTGATATATGGGGCCCATACGAAGTCCTGAACCTGCATACACAACTTTCTGTCACAGGCTGTAATAATCATTAGGAACTTCAGATACAAAATTTCAAACAATTTCGGTGAATATTGTACCTACAAATATATGGGGCCTATACGAAGACCTGGACCTACATAGATAATTTTCTTGCATAGGCCATTACGAACTCTAAATACGAAGTATGAAACAATTTCGGTGAATAATGTAGCTTAAATCATCAAAATACCGAATATTGGGAGGTACCGTTATATGGAGGTTATTCTAAGACGTGGGCCTGCATGTGCAATTTTTTGTCATAGGCTGTAGTACCCATTTCGAATTCTAAATGCGAAATTTGAAACAACTCCGGTTAATATGGTCCAGGGGGTAAAGTACTCAGAAGGAACTCCTTTTGTGGATTTTCAGACAATTTCATTGCAAAATTTGGCTACAATCATCAAAATACCAAATATCGGGGGTAGCGTTATATGGGAGCTATTCGATATAGTGGACCGATGTAGCCCATCTTCGAACTTGACCTGACTGCAGACAAAAGACTGATCTGTGCAACAATTTAGCTTCAAATTTTAATTCGTTTTGAATCTATCGTGATTACAACAGACGGACAAACGGACGGACGGACAGGGCTAAATCGTCTTAGAGATTTATTCTAATCAAGAGTATACATACTTTGTTATGTCTAAAATTAATATTTCCATGAGTTACAAGCGGACTTCATATACCCTCCATACTATGTGTGGTAGAGGGTACAACAACGAATGAAGAAAGACAGGAAAAGACCTCTCGTTTAGAAAAATGGATTTTATTACATAATCACGCCAAAATTGTGTGCTTATAATGGAGATTCAAAAAGAACATCTAAATCCGGTTGGCGTACAAGTAAAAAACCATTAAGTTCGGCCGGACCGAACTTTTAATACCTTCCACCTTAGGGTAAAGGAAACATTTTTACATAAAAGTATCTGAATTCAAGCGTGTTTCACTTTAAACGTCATATACCAGTAAGACCCGTTGCATATTGCAGTTAAACTTATCTAAAAACCGTGAAGTGTGTGAGGCCGTTATATGGGGCCATACCAAAATGGGAACCTCTATAGATATTTTATACTTCAAGGATTGTCATGTATCAAATATTCTAAAATACAAAATTTGAAACAAGTATGTTGGTAAATGTGATAAGGTTTATCAAAATACTGAATATCGGTGGGTATCGTTATAAGTGCGCTATAGGAAAATGTGGAACTAAATATTCAACGTTCTGCCACAGGGCTAGAACCCATTATGAACTAAAAATGCCAACTCTTATCAAAATATCGAATGTCGTCAGGTATCGTTATATGGAGGCTACACCGAAATGTGAAGCTATACACACAATGTTTCGCCATACGAGCTGGAACCCATCATGACCAACAAATTCCAATTTTTAGACAAATCCGTGAAAAAATGTGGCGAAAATCATCGAAATACCGAATATCGAAAGGTACAGTTATATGGGGGCTATGCCAAAACGTGGGCCTATACATACAATGTTTTCCCACAAGAGGGAACCCATTGTACCCTACAAATACAAATTTTTAGATAAATCCATGGGAAAATGTGGCAAAAATCATCAAAATACTGAATGGAGGTACCGTTATATGGGGGCTGTACCAAAACGTGAACCTATACATACAATGTTTCACCATACGAGCTAGAACCCATCATGACCTACAAATACCAATTTTTAGACAAATCCGTCCAAAATGTGCAAAAATCAACAAAATACCGAATATCAAAAGGTACAGTTAAATGGGGGCTATGCCAAAACGTGAACCGATATATCTCATTTTCAATACCAACCATCCTATCTACAATACAATTAGTTCTGCTAAATATTGACGCTCTACGTCAGATAATGAGGGCTGTATCGTGATTTCAACAGACTGACGGACATCGTTAAATCAACTTAGAATTTTATGCCGATTATGAATATATATACTTTATGGGGTCTACGACGAATATTTAGGGATGCTACAAACGGAATCGCAAAGGTTAGCAATTTTTACAACAACTTGCCCACCATACCCTCCTTTCCAAGGTGGAATAATGGTGATATTTGTTTTTCGGAAATAGAATAGGAAACTTATAAAATAACATAAACTGAATTTATTTCGTATTCGTTTTAAATTAGGTTTTCGTTCTTATTTTCCAAAAACAGAATTAAATAATACTATATTTTAAGGGGTTTCAGTTGATTTTTTATGATAACAGATTTTTTTTTAAAAAAACAAATTTGCCAATAGTTCTTAATCCTACCGTATATCTCAAGATGGTTTAACCACCTGGAAACATAATATATTTTGTCAGGATAATTTAGCAACACAAACGCAATATTTTCCGACTCTGACTCTAGCAAAATTTTCTTACTCCAACTCCGCAACCCTGGTCATAATTTTTTTTCTAATTTTTTTTAATCTGCAAGATTCAAGCTTGCTATTTGATTTGTTAACCATTAGCTATTTTAAAATAAAACAAACAACAAATAATAAACACCAACTTTCCACTTATTCTCAACTTTGAGACATTTAAACTCCTTTTGTATTGGCTGAAACAAGAACTTCTCCTTACATATGACAACAACTTGCCCACTATTCTATCAAATTTCGAAATATGCTATAGCCAAATACCATTCCAATTAAAGCTTAACTAACAAAGCAAACACTTTTCCTTTGAATTAACAAAGCTGTTCAAATCGAGTTCAAATTATTTTGTAATTAATTTGAAATGCAATCGCACAAATTCCTAATCAAATTATTTAAATAATTATCTGTCTTTCGGTGACACATTGACCTGTCAAGATTAAAATATTAAAGTTAATTGTCATGACGAATGTATAAATCTAATTGGGGTTGCATTCAATGATGCTTCTCATCGTCATGGCGGTATGAGAAATCTCGGAAAAACAAACAAAAATAAAAAAATGGAAAAGGGGGACAATTTATCACCACAAAAAGCTGAGGATAGATACAATAAAAATCTAAAAATTTGTTACAAAGCGACAGAAAGAAAGAGAAAATAGTAAGCGACGACGACAACAACAACAACATACACTAATGTTTGTCAGTATTGTTTGCTAAATAACATACCTTTTGTTTTTTTAATTTCTGTTCATCCTCCATCTGTTGGGTCTCCTCTGAAACCGTCCCGGAGCTGAAGGTGGAAGTCACTTCCTTTTGGTTAATTGGATTCTTGTCAATTGTATCACGCGCTTCATTAGTGTCATTCGCAATTTGTTCGTTGGCTTTATTATCCTGCTCTTGCTGTTGGCTGAGGGCATTGATGTTGCTACCATCATCCTTCTCTCCTGATTCATGACATTTATCTGATTCGTTGTCATTCGCCTTAATATCCGTATTTTTACCATCTGCACAAAGTGAGAAAGGCAAAAGCGATGAACACCATCAGAAAGAAACCAAGCCAAGGGAAAGTATAAAAAAAGTGTGCAAGAAAACAAAAAAATAACGAAGAAAATAAATATTAGGTAAGCTGCGAAAAGGGACGACGACGAAAACGACGACATGGAGCACAAAAATGATTTAATTCAGGCGAAATATAATGAAGAAAAAAAATGACGTTCATATTCATTTGCTGTAATTTCCTTCGGTGTTTCAAACGCTGAGAAATTGTCCGTTAGATATTACACTTATATATATTTTCGTTTTATTTCATTTTTCTGTGGTCATTTTCTGTTACTTGCACAGATTTGTCAATTATGTTGGGACATTCCATTTCTTGAGTATTATATAATGAAATTATGAGTTGTTTTTAATATTTTTCTTTAAAATTAGCATATTCAATCATGAATAGCCTTTACATAATAAGGTAATTAAAATAAGTAAAACATAACCCAACATAAGTGAAACATAACCGATAGAAATGATAAACTACTAAATATTTATCTCTGAAATACATATATATGTAATTTTCTCTTATGAAGAAAAGTTCCATGAACGTATTGAAATGTTTGGTGGATCTAGGACCATCATTTCGAGGAGTCACAATTTTTGACATAAGTTAATGTATGACTCCATTTCTACATTTGCAAGCGCGCTTGAAAGAAAAAAACAAATATTTTGATATGTTTAAAATCCAAAAAAAAAATTTCAAAAATCTCGGTTCAGGGATCGATTTACTTTAAATAATTCAGTGATCCAAATGTCGGATCAAAATAATGGTGGTATGCCAGAACCCTGTGCAATTTATTTGAGGTTAATTTCACCTGCTTTAGAAAATCCACCAAAATATCCGGATACCAATCCGTTGGACTATTGTGTCTGGAGTATTTTGGAAAAAAAATACCGAAATGTCTTTCACCTCAAGCAAGCGCTTCGCAGGTAATGGGTCAAAATACCGCAGAGAAACATTCGGGCAGCGTGTCACGGTTTCATTGGCCGTTTGAAGGCCATAATTCGTACCAAAGGTGACCAATTTGAACAAGTCTAAATTAATTCTAAAATTTGATGCTATTTCCGACATTTTTTGCTTTCATTCAATAAGATTTAAAAAAAATGTAAAAATTATGGCGTTAGACTTTGTTGATTTTTTTTTATCTCACCCTGTGTACACTGTTTCGCCAAATACCAATTTTTAGACAAATCCGTGCAAAAATGTTGCAAAATCATCAAAATACCGAATATCGAGAGGTACTGTTATATGGCGGCTATACCAAAACGTGGATCTATATATACAATGTAGATCTGTATATACAATTTTCTTAAAATGTTTTCGAAGAAACTTCTCTAACTAATTCCAAAATTTAGAAAGCTTCGAGTAATATTTAATTGCTTTGTCCAAATATTTTCAGAAATTATAAAACTATTTCCGAATTTCCCAAGAAATTTTGGAATTTTCGGGAAATTTCCCAATTTGGCCTTTTTAAGAGATTTGATAATTTTTTTAAAACGTTCATTCTGAGTTTTATTTTCGAAAACCTTCAGAATGTCTTAATTTTCCTCTAAATTTTTCAATGTTTTTCTTTTTTTTTTTTTGGATTCTGACCGAAATCGTCACAACCTACTTCATTTAGTTAAGATGGTAGCTAGAGTGATTTCCCACAATGGACAGAGAGATTGACGGATATGGCATAAAACAGAATTTTATGCTAATCAGGAATAGATATACTTTGTAGGATCTAAAATAGATATTTCGAGCGGTCATGGCATATTTGGCATGCCTTCCATACTATGGTGAATGGTATAAATACAGTTCAGAGAGAGAGAGCGAGAGAGAGAGAGAGACTGTTAGCTTGAAGTTGTACCCGAGTCGGATAATTTGATTCAAATAATTTCAGAGAAAGTTCTCATATTAAGAAACGCTTGTGTCTTCAATGTGCGAATCTCTGTCTGGCCCTGGTGTAAAAAAACCCAACCACTCTCTCTCTCCCTTTATTCATCTTTTTTTTTTTTTGCACACGAAAGACTACCGATTTTGGGAATGCTTAAGAGGTGGACCCTGTTTTTTCCTTCTTGTAAAAGGAATAAACTTCTCAAATATCGAAATTCGATATAATTTCTACGCTCACTCCCATCTGATATATTCCTAAACTTCTGCCTAATCGGTTCTCTTCCTGTAGCAATATCTCTCATTAAAATTCTGTTCCCCAACCGCCCTCCAAAGTCACTCAATCCAATTGCATGGAATTGCCCACAATAATTACCTGCATTGTCTTCTTCGTTGGTCAATTGCTGTGGTTCATCGTTTCTTTCCAAGCTGATTTCACGTGCCTCCGGGGATTTTTGCTTTTCTTGTTGTAATTTAAATGAGGGTAATAAATCTGCCAATTGACGTGTCACGGTATCCAATGTCGATTGTATGGTACTGGGAAGGTTGGAAAGGGCAGCCAATTGACGTTGAACATCAACCAATTGCCGTTCCAAAGCTAATTCTTCTTCAGTTTTTTCAACTTCGGCAACATTGCTTACTTCTTCTGCTTCTGGCTCGTTAGCTTTATTGTCCTCCTGTGGGCATTCCATTTCTTTCATTTCTGGAGTGGTCTCTTTTTCTTTGTCGGATTTTTCAATCTCCTCCTCTGGCTGGTTGCTTGAGGACTCATCTGCATTTGCGATGTCATCTTTGGAAATAGTTTCTTCCAAATTGGGTACCTCGGTATCAACTGGGGTTGGAGCCTCTGGTTCGGGTTCAGGTTCTGGTTCCGGTTGGGGTTCTTCAACTGGAGGTGGAGGCGTCGGTTCCTTATCAGGTTCCGGTTTTGGCTTTGAATGAAATAAACTGTTCTTCACACACACATAATAACCAAATATGAATCCATGCATTTTACCTGCGGTACTGGTGTCACCGAACGGGATGACCTTGGTGCACCCTTTACAATTTTCACTTTGTAAGCATTTGCAGCACGCCTTTCAGCCTCCAGCTGTTGTTTACTCTTCGGTATGGGACGATCTGGTTTTTGCAAAAACGTGGTCCACCTACGATTCTCCTTCTCCTTTTCAAGTTTGGTCTTGGATGCCTCTTCGCTGAGAGTACGCAACACTTGACTGCTCATGCATACGCCTGGTTTCGGATACAGCCTATAAATATTAATTCTATTTTTTAAGTCAGAACATTAGAATATGAGCAATAAAAACGGTGGTTATACAAACCCTGGATGGTTAAGCTCATTGGCAGCTATTTCCGAGGCATCTGCTAGAACGGCAGCAATTTCTTCTTCTACCAATTTGCGTTCACTTTCCTCGGACAATACCGAGCAGGGCCTATCGTCCTGATCTCCTACGTACTGATCGTCAGCATTGCCCGCTTCTTGGGTGCCGTCGTTTTGCTGTTCATTGTCTTCAGCAGATTCATTTGTTTCGCCAGCTTCCAAGTATGGAGAAAATGGTATGGGAGATTGCGATGGCCGGAATTCCAAAGGATCTTGCAAAAAGACAGTCGACGGACGATATTCCAAAGTTTGACGAGTAAACGGGGATTGTGAACGTCGATTGGTCAACGATTGTTCTGCATTGGTTGTTGGTAGCAAAGAGGTTGAATCCCAAGTGGGTTCGGTGCGGATTGCAGGTATTGGGGATGGAGATCTTACTCTTGTCAATGATTCAGAGGCCTGTTCCGTCATAAGGTATGGTCCTGGAGATTTGGCTTCTAAGCATGGTTCAGTTCCAAGCGGTGGTATGGGAGAAGGTGATCTAACCTTTGGCATGTTAACGGTTGATTGTACCGCCACCACGGCCACAAAACTGGTTGGTGTAATAGGGGAGGGTGACCTTCCCCTTGCAAAAGTTTCCGTGTAGTTCTCAATCGATAAATGTGGCACCGGTGATTTTGCCTCCAAACATGGTTCAGTGCCGAGTGGTGGTATGGGAGACGGTGGTCGTTCACTGGGTAAACTTTCTGCCACAGCCGGCTTTGCAGGAGTAGGAGCAGCTGCAGGAACATTTACAAAACTTGTGGGAAGTCGAGGTTGTTCGGTTACCTCGAGAAAACTGGTTGGAGTTGTGGGTATAGCTTTGTTGGTCGTTGGAAAGTAATTCGGCTTCACATGCTGTTCCTCGTTTTCCCTAAAGGTAGAGCTAGATTACCACAAATGTCACTGCTTTAATGGTTTACTTGCCTTTTGATTCCCAGGAAGAAAACATTACCGCATTTCGTTATCACCTTGTGCGATTCTTCGTGCGTTAATGGAGATGTTGGTGTATCATTAATTCGTACAATCACATCACCGACCTTAAGACCAGCCTCCTGGGCAATGCTACCCTCAGTAACCTGAAATATTTTACAATTATAATGAGGATCATGTAAATGCAATTAAAAGGGAAGTATTTCATGACACACATACACGTACAGAGAGATAGAGAGAGAAATATAAGTAAATCAAAGCAACGTTAGCTTTAAGCATTGCATGTACCAGTAATAATATTTAGATTTATTTGGTATGGTCGACCATGTAATAACTTATAACTATAAAAAAGTTCAAAACAAATTCTGGGGAAAATAGCATCTTATTTTTTTTTTTTTTATTTGCCATGCCGAATGACCAGAATTTAGATAGCCTTCTATTTAATGAAGTTTCCTGCATGGAATCCTTTAGATGGTCTGTTATATGTTAGCTTAGATGTTTAACACTTCTTGAAGTTATCTAATCTTTGAACATCAAATCCTATTTAAGAAGGTCACACAGGTGAAAAATGCAGGTCTAAGTTTTATCTTGCTATCCAATGTTTACATTATGTTTCAGAAATTTATAGTTACGATATTGTATTTTTATACCCCCCACCTTGGCAAGGATGTTCGAAATATTCATCATAAACCCCAAAAAGTATATATATTCATGATAAGCATAAATTTCTAAGTCGATTTGCCAATGTCCGTCTGACTGTTGAAATCGCGATACAGCCCACATTATTTGACGTAGAGCTTTACAATTCGGCACAGTATTGTATCTAGACGGTTGGTTGGAATAGTATTTTTTTGGAATAGCTCCCAAATAACGGTAGCTCCCGATATTCAGTATTTTGATGGTTTTAGCCAGCAATTTGTCTAAAATTTGGTATTTGTAGTTCGTTATGTGTTCTAGCTCCATTGGCGGAACATTGCACATATAGGACTACGTTTTCGTATATCCTCCATATAACGATGTTTTGATGGTTTTAGCCGCATTTTTTCACGGATTTGTCTAAAAATGGTATTTGTAGTTCGTAATGGAATCTAGCTTCTGTGGAAGAACTGTAGTTATATAGGTCCACGTTTTCGTATAACCTCAATATCGGGAGGTACCGATATTCGGTATTTTGATGATTTTTGCCACATTTTTCCACGGATTTCTCTAAGAATTGATATTTGTAGTTCATAATGGGCTCTAGCTCCGGTGGTGGAACATTGAATATCTTGGTCCAAGTTTTCCTATAGCGCTCAAATAACGGTTCCTTCGCATTTTCAAATCTGGTTACCAACTCATTATTTTAACTAGGACATGTCCCATGATAAAGTAAATATTTTTTGGCACCTAAAAATCGATAAAAAAAAAGGTATTTACCGACTTTGGCCGCTAATAGACTTGTAGGGACAGAAAAACAACTACATGGTAACAAGATTTGTAATTCACCTTCCGGTCTTGACAGTGATGTTGATGTAGTTAACATAAATTATGAGATATCATATATATTGCAAAATATATACATACAACTAAAATTTCTACTATTTTTATTTTTTAATTCCCACAGAGTGCATGGTCGCGTTGCTCCGCGATAAAACCAAGTTCATTCAATGGAAACACACAACTCAAAAAAAAAAAAAAAAAGGTTAAAAACTTTCATTTGTTATTATTGGATATAAAAACCTGCAATTCAGGTCCATATTCAGGAGTAAAGACCCATACATAAATAAGTACCTCCTGACTTCAATTATTTTGATCCGTATTTTCCAATATATATGGCTGGACATTTGTATATTTTATTCTTCGGGGATGGACGGAAGTTATTAAATATATTTAATCATTCAAAAATTTTTCAGACCTTTAAGTTTTTATATTGTTACTAGCTGGCCCAGTCCGCGTTGCCGGCCCATAGTTTTAGTCGTTAATGCATAGTTTTTTAAGCATAATAATTCACAAATCTGGCTCACATAAATGGCACAATTTTTTTTATAAATGGTGACTCAATTAAATATAAATAAATACGTCTTTCAAAAAACCTGATCCTATTTTTCAGTAAGAGGTTAGCATATATATTAGAAATAATATAGCATATATATTAAAAAATATAATCAACATCCTCGAAAAAGTTAAAATCAGGAGGTACTTTTGTATGAGCCCTAATTCGAAACATTGACATTGAAAAATTTCCGCGAAAAGGACTTCTACCAGAAGCTAGATGCTAAATAAGTGCAAAATCAATTGAAAAATGTGACCAATATAGCTAAAATTACCGGATACCTTCACATAAGAGTTATAATGAACCATGGTTCTATACTTATAATTATTTGAAAAAAATTGTATGCAAACTTTCTCGATTTTTTCGGTTTTTCTTTTCAATAAGATTTCTCAATTCCAAAAGGAATTCTGAAACAATTCTACACAAAATTTCATATCATAATATAACGGTCAATTTTTTCATTTCCGCGATTTTTCTCAAAATTTTCTTTCATGACAACGTTTCTATGTAATTACAAATAACCAAAAGAAAATTTGAGTCAAATCGACCCAGCCGTTCTTAACAGATGTCTTACTATACTTTTTCATATTTTTTTTTTACATATAATTTTAAAGAAGTAGTTGTGGCCAGTTCCTCTAACCCCAAACAGATACCTAGGGTTGGGGGGAGTGGGGGTCAAGATTACGTTTACTAACTGTCGAACAGATATCTTCATTAATTTGGCAAATATTAAGATTATCAATAAATCGAAAAAATGGGCGCGAAATTGGGCATGGTTATTTTATCTTTGCGTAAAACCTAAATCGGGGCATTACGAACATTTAAAAAATATCCAAATAGTCCCAGCCGGTCTCAACTGATTCAATTACCAACGAACAACAATTGGTTTATATATAGATTAAAAAGTAGGCGTGGTCAGTTTCTCAGCCCCCAAATAAATACTTAGGATTGGAGGGAAAGTCTGCCGTATGTCATGTAATAATTTTAAAACCCATATCTTCCTTATTTGGCAAATATAAGGATTTAAGATAAATCGAAATAGTGGGCGTAAAAGTAGGCGTGGTCACTATTTTGTTCTTTAAAAACCTAACTCGGGGTATGACGAACGTTTGTACAAAAAAATATGCAAATCTGTTCAGCCGTTCTCAACTGATTCCATTAAAAACGAACAACAATTGATTTTTATATATATAGATTTATTTATTTATTTGTTTATTTTTTTGAAAGAATAATAGGGAAATGTTCATTGTTGTACGCATTTCCAAACCCACCTCCAAATATCAATCCCAGATAATAACAGTTATCGAAATATCGAAATTTCAGGATTTCACCTCTTCTCCTTCACGCAACATGAATCTCAATCTCAGCTACATACAGAGACCTCAGTATCAAATTTGAGGATTTCAGCTCTATTCCTTCACGCAATACCAAATTTAGTACCGTTTAGTAAACTAAATTAAACCACCCCCCATATCACAATTCTCAAAAACCAACAGAGACCTCAATAACAAAATTGAGGATTCCAGCTCTACTCTTCACCCAATACAAAATTTAGATACATTTAATACTTTTCGTATATTTTTAGATTTCCGAAACCACCTAATTTATCCAGTCTACACATGACCAGAACAGCCCCTAATAGCAAATTTCAGATTTCATGCTCTATATTTTCACCAAATACCAAATTTTATCAAATATAGTACTATTTAGTACATTTCGTGCACTTGTAGTACACATTTCCAAAACCACCTCCTTGTCACAAACTTAACAATAACAGGACCGCCAATATAGAATTATTACATTCCAGCTTCGCACGTTCACCCTAAACTAAACTGTTCCAGATCCATTTTCCAAAACCACCTTCATATATCAAACTTACTTTCCAGCCAAACTTCACGGTACCATTTTAGAAGTTTAGTACCATTTTAGACATTTTCGTCTAAATTGTAGAATTCAGAATATTTTTATACCCTCAACCATAGTATGGAGGGTATATTAAGTTTGTCATTCCATTTGTAACACCTTGAAATACACATTTTAGACCCAGCAAAATATATATATATTCTTGAACAGCATAAAATTCTATGTCGATTTAGCGAAGTCCGTCCGTCTATCCGTCTGTGGGAACTTTTGGCATTGAAAATGGGCCATGTAGGTCCACGTTTTGGTATAGCTACCAAATAACGTCACCTCCCGATATTTGGTATTTTGATGATTTTAGCGACATTATTTACCGGAATTGTTTCAAATTACATTTGAAACATTTGAAGTTCGTGATGGATATTACAACCTATGATACAAAATTGTCTGTGCTGGTCCACATATTCGTATAGTTTCTATATAACGGTACCTCCCGATATTCGATATTATGATGATTTTAGTGACATTATCCATATATATAAAGTTCGTAATGCATACTACATCCTATGATGTAGTATATCATAGACAACTCCAGATATTTTGATGATTTTAGCGACATTACTCACTGAAATTGTTTCAAATTTGGTATTTGAAGTTCGTAATGGTATTTTAACGGTATTTTAAGATTTTAACAGCATTTTTAACGGATTTTATTTTTTTAAAAATTGCAAAATCCGTTGCTAATGGTGTAGGGTATTCAAAGTACGGCCGAATTTACACCTTTTTTACTTGTTTTTTCTTTGACACTTTCCTCAAAAATTAAATATGGAGGGCGATTTTGTCTTAGAATGGAATCGTGTTAAATTAGCTGTAATTATCGTAAACCCATAATTTTCCCTAGTAATATATACATTTTTCTTAAAACCTACTTCCTTAAGCGGGATCGTAAGAAACACATCTCTTTATCCATTATATATACTTTGCAATGTAAACTTTCAAAACGTCGATACACTTTTCTCCTATTTTAAGCTCATCTTTGATAACCTACTGCATTATTTTTCTGTGTTATTATTTTGTGTTCTACATTTAATTTTGGTATTTTTAAAATTTAAGGGCCTAAACAAACGAGCCGTATCATCGCCATGGTGTAGGGTATAAACATGCATTTGCTCCAATTTAAAGTTACATTTGTTATTGAATTGAAAACTTCGTTTTGAAAGACTATTAAATTGATAGTTCCTCAATATCTGCTTC